TCTGTGATCCTATGATTCTATGCTGGAGCAGTGTCAGCCCCTGGCCTGCCTCCCCTCTGGCAGGGGAGCTCCTGGGGCGCCTGCAGACCGGGCAGGGTCCCCACGTGGAGGGGTATCGGGCTTACGGTAGCGTATAGGGGGATGAGCGTTGGGGATGGGCAGAACCTGCTGTGAGGTCCTTTCTAGGGGGTGGAGGGAAGGTGCGGGAGGCATTACAGTTTGTGTAAGGGAAGCACCAAAGCCGAGAGGGAGACAAAGCGGACCGGGAGGAAACCCCGTGGGAACTGGAAAGGAGAAACAGCATGAAGGAGGGTGTGTGTGAACTTGCTGCCAGTTCATAGCCTTCAGCCTGCAGTCGGCGCTCTCTCTCTCTCAGCTGGGTTTCTAGGTTTTTTCCAGGGCGAGGGCACAGCCCGCCCTGCGTGTCTACATCTGCCTAAGCGCCAGCAACTGGCGTGAGCCCACAGGGCAAAGGGGCCAGCATGCATGCGGTACCAGCAAGCGGGAGCAGTGGAGCGTGCGCAGAGGGGAGATGAGGCTAGGTGGGCGTGGCGACACGCGAGAGCACTCCTGATCGGGGCAGACTAGTGAGCAGGCAGGATAATGGGCTACGGAGCCTGGCTTCTAGGAGCAGGAAAGATTGGGGTCAATGGGTTGCTTACTGGAGGTAGGCCTAAGCCAGCTTGTTGGAGAAAACAGGGTAGGCATCCAAGAGTTGGCTGCTGGAAGGCCATATGCCTGGATCAGATTAAAAATTTCACTCTCTCTCCCTCTCCAGGTGAGAAGATTTGAGTAAAAGCAACCAGAGCAGCCCTGCGGACCTCGGGTGTTCATGTGCCCCAGTGGCCAGTACCGGCCAGGCTGCGTGTTTAAGGACGCTACTGAAGGCATTCGTAACGTTGGCGTGTGCATACAAGTCTGTTTATATGAATATATTCTACCAGCAGGCTTCCAAACCGATCGGCCGGAGAGGAGGAAGAGGATTTGGCCACTTGTACCATTCGTGCTTGAGTGCCGTGTGTTTTCTGTGCTGATCGGGGTGGCTGGACATATGCGTTTTTGCCTACTGGGAATACATTCCCAGCCTGGCTACTGGCTGGACTTGGGTGTGTGGGGGCACAGCAGCCTTGCTTCTGTTAAGGACCGGACTCAGCCACTTCTATTCTCACCCATCTCAGTGTCCCCTGTTCTTGCTGTTGTGTAATTTCGCTCCCGTTAATCTCGTGCAGACTCTTTAACCTGGTACTCCAGTGCCGTTACGCGTCTCTCTGTCAGGCAGGGAGCAGTTCTGCGGTGAACTAGGGTGCCACGTGCTGCCGTGGAACGATTCCTATTTGAGGAAAAGGTAATTGCAGCCCGCAAGGTCCGAGTTCCACGTTAATTTAGGGCTTTTCCTGCTGTGCCGTTACATGAGGACACAACAGTCCTTACTCTACTACCCTGTTCCACACACGTCCTAATCCAGGAAGGCGGGCAGACGGTAAAGATGCTCAGAAATAGAAGCCCTTCGGAGGGAATGTTCCCGGTACTGTGACAGAGGGGGTCTGCTGCAGAAATGATCAGCCCCTTAGCAGGGGAGGCGGCCGCAGAGGTGCGTCGTGGAACCCTGCTTCACCGCGCGTCCGTATTCTGGAGGCAAACCACCCAAGGGGAAAGGTTACCAGGAGTTATTTTATTCTCGCAGCACTCCGAGTTCTGGGGAGGGTTTGTAACACGTCACTCTATGTCCACACCCAGATTTGGAGAAGCTAGGGGCGGGATTCCAGTTTACTCGTTCCCCTCTGTGGGGTCTCACAGTGACGTTGCTGTTTTTCTCTCGGGGAGCAGTAACTCGTCGGATGTGTAGAAATTTCACCTTCCCTGCTTGCCCGAAGAGCTGTGAGTAAACTTTTGGGTCATTTCCTTCCCTTCTCCAAGGAACTCCCAGGAACAACGACGTCCAAGGAGCAGTGAATCTTTTCTGTCAGCAGAAACAGACAAAAACCCTCTGGGCAGCGCCCCCGAGGGCGACTGCAGTTCAGGACTGGCCCCCGCAGCGCAGTTGCTTGCACTTCCGACAGGCACCCCCAGGTTCTCAGAGGGCCACGCTAAGATCAGTGGAAATCATTTGGTCAGCAAGTGGAGAACGCTGGGTGCCGCGCGCTCCGGGTCAGCCCAGTCAGACGTCGTAGAACAAGCGCACCAGCTGGTACCGGATGGAGAACGCCACCGTGCTGCCCAGGACCTAGGCAAACGGAAACGACAGCGTTAAAGAGTGTACAGGCTTGGCACAGTCCTTCCTTCCAGCTGGATTTGCTGCGCTTTCCAGTGTGCCTCGTTTTGCTAATTAACAGCCCTTAGGCTACACTTTTTTGGGTTAGAAAGATGGAAGGCGGAAGCCCAGCCGAAGCGCTCGGTGAGAATCGCAGCTATCTGCCGGGGGGGGTGCGGGGGGCGATTTGCGGACGGGGGCGCTCGGG